TCATGCTTTGGAGAATATTAAGGTGCACTGTGAGGCAAACCACATTTTATAAATTAAAACTCAGATCAATCAAAGAAGCACAAAGTGAACCAGTTCCAAACTAGGCTGTTAAATTTTGGTATGTGTTCAAATCTCAGCATTATCAACCTCATATTTCTCTGTAATGACACTCAGAGTTATTAGAAAAGGGCATTTAAGTTTCAGACCAAAATCAAAATCTCTGGAGGCGTGGCTTCAGTTACAGATTAAAATGTTCCCAGATAACTCTCAAGTACATTGAGGTTGAGAACCACAGTTATACCGCTGGATAATTTTGTAACTCTGAAACTTTATCAAAAAAGTAATGACATTGTGCAGTGGTATTGCAATAATAAAACACATTAAATTACAGCAGTGGTAGCATTTTCTGAAATTTGACAGAACTTATTTTAAAATACAACTTCAAATATTTTTCATTTTCTTGACTTAATCATCACACAAAAGAAAAGCTATGCACACCTTGAACAAGAATAATTAATTATTCTTGTATTTACAGAGTATTTACAACACCTAGGTGTATGGTTTTGGAGAAACCAAACAAAGGAATAAGCTAGAATACTGAAGGAAAGATAGGAGGACAGATGGAGTCAGGCAGGGTGAATATACATAGTGTGAATCAAATTGAACTTCTTGAAACCTAAAGTCATGGAAAAATTCTTTGGAATGAGAGAATTCTCCTAGGTTCAGTTTTTTAAAATAAATGGGTGCTGACCAGTAAGAGGCATATAACAAGCCTTGGCAAATGGTTATGATGATAGTGAAACCATATCGTAAGTGAAGAAAATCATAAGAAAAGAGATGATCAGCATAGGAAGAGGACAGGAAAGCAGTCAGCACCAGCTCATGTCAAAGCCAGCGACAATTCGTAAAGACATAAAAGGTACTTGTGGAATACAGACTTGGGAGGGACACTGACAGAGTCAAAATCCAGGCCCCTTGGATTTTGGTATAAGGTATAGATGGTTTGATGTCCTTCACCTTCTCCCACTAGAATCTACGTCAATGAAGTCAGCTATTTTAAACCCACAAAGACGTCTTTATGTCAGTGTGCATAACTATATTGCACACGTATCACTATGTCTGATATCAGATGTATCAGATCATATAATATCAGACATTTTATAATAGTTAAAGAACATTCTATATTTCAAGAGTTTGACGGTAGCTGCTACTCTGTATCTAGCAATTCCTAGGTAACTAAACATTTAGACTTCTGCTTTCTAATTTTCTTACATGTTCCACACTTCTACCTACTTTTTTAAGACGAGGGTATGGTTATGAAACTTTGAAAACTAATTCAACAAAAATCCAGCAGTGGAATCCACCACATCTGAAGGGTAGAACGGCACCTGGTATCCGAAAACTATGAAACTACGATCAAGACAAGGAATAAGCAATAATCCTGTGGGCTTGAGCATCCCTGTTGCTGTGTGAGAACCAGGCTCCAGAGCTTGCAAAAAGAAACCAATGAGAAGGTCATCAAACCATTCAGTCTAATTTGAAGAATTAGGCAGAGGTGGACAAAGGACTTTGTGTGACAGTAAGTAAGCAACATAAAATAGTAACATCCACTATGACTTCCAAAGACCATCAAGATGGGAGAAATCCCTAAGAAAAAACATTGCTGCTTAGGTCTCCTTCAAGCATGCTTATCCTGTACCAGCCTGGGCATCAGAGCATTTAAATTTTGAAGAGTGAAAACATACATATTGGTTTCCCTGAGATGCTGCTAAAAAATCATATGAGCCATCGTATACATTTTAAAGCAAAATTGAAAAATTACAATCTTTATATGGCCTCAGAAGCAAACCTGGAGCAAGAATGAGGTAGTGCTGCCATTAAAATATTGGGAATTCCTGTGTTAGGAAAAGTAAGCTGATATATCAAAGAGCACCAAGGCTAGATGCCATTTTGGTGGAGAAAGTTGCCAGAAAGGATATATAGAGAAGGAAATACACAGAAAATAGAGCTACACTGGGACTTGCTAGACAGAAAAAGAAATAAGTTGATGCGTATGAGAACAAAAAGTGTCGTGTAAGATAAGAGCTTTGAAGGAAATACAAAGGTGGCTCTTATGTACACAAAAGAAAGGAGCCCATAGCACATATGTGGGGAAAACCTGTTGTAACATCTACTAGGGAACAGAGAAAAAAACATGGCAGGGAAATGTCACATCAGCGTACATTTTTGATAATTTAGCTATTCTCTTTATATTCTAACATTTAGTTTTTAATTCACAGGTCTTCAGCTTGTGATAAAATCTAAAGAGAAATTAAGCTAATTGTCTTAATTCTGACATAGCAAAATACTTGTTACTGAAGAATGTATAAAGAAAGAGATTGATTTTGGTTTATGATTCTGGGCACCAGAAATTTCCAGTATCATGGTACCAGCATGGTACAAGGGCCCTTGGTTGCACCACAGCATAGGGAATGGTGGGAATATATGGGAAAGAGGCAGTAAGAGAGTGGTAAGAGCTGAGCTCACTCTTTTATAACAGCCCACTCCCTTAGGGTCTAAGCAACTGTTATGAATCTCTTCCTGAGCACGGTCTTAACCCAGTCTCTTCCCACTGAGCTCTAGTTCTTAAAGGTCTCAGCACCCTTCAATACTCACATTGGGGGTCAGGCTTGAGGGACAAACCACATCCAAGCCATGGCATACACACAAATACTGTTTTTGCTCCCAAACTATCTTCCACTCCAGAACCTAACCCTTCACTGGCTATGGCCGTGAGGCCTCTGTGGTCCTACAGTTGCTTGTAAGAAGTTACTAGACTGTGGCCCCTTCTGGACAACTGACCTTGATTATTTTGGGGGAAATTGTCCATCTAATTCAACTAACCACAGGCTGACTTGTAAGTTTGTAAACCATTTCTGGATTGAATTTCCAATTTTCATCACCATTCAGTCTTTCGCATTTCCAAATACACATGTATTTTGGGCATGTATGGGTCAAAGTCTGTGCGTTAAATACAAACTTTTTCAGTCCAGCTGTTCATTCAGATTTTGTAGATTTAAAATGAAATTAGAATATGAGTTGGGGGAAAGATTGGTAAGAAAAGACAAGATGCTCAAGGATCAAGTTTTGTCCATCTCCTTTCAGTGTCAAATACCGTGCACTCACAATCACCTTTTGTCCGTCTAGATGGGGTGGGGGGAGAACAGCCACATGCCACCAGCCTGTACCAATTCAAGGAAGAGGAGAGGTGACCTGTGAGGATGGATTAGAACAGGTAGGCACAGGACATGGCTTGCAGGTGACGTACTTCCTCTCTCTCCTGCGGTGCTTGTTGCCTTTCCAGAGTTCTTTTGTTTCAGGAATGGGGTTCTACACAGTGATTCCTACTGGGTTGCTAGCACAGCCAGCCAGGTTTTAGTGGGGAAAGACACCAGAGAGAATAACAACTATTTCAGGCTTTTCCTCTAAGTGAAGAACAGTCTCTCTCTTCCTCCCTCCCTCCCTTTCTCTCTCTCTCTATCTCCCCCCCCCACATTATCATGCTATAGTACTTTAAACTTCTCCCATCATTAAGCCTTCTGAGTGAAATATTGAACTGATTAATGTGGCATTTTCCACTAAACTGTTTCAGGAAATGTTGCACCTTACCAGTGGGATGCTTTTGAATAATGTAATCTCCTTAGTATAATTAAAACTAAGTTCTGAAGTTAGTACCTTTTCTCCCTGGAGGCACTCATCAAAATGTCAAGTGTTCCTTCTAGTAGAACTGCAATCCCATAGTACAAACAAATATATTACCCACTGCTCCTTACTAGCAAAAGGCCCTTGTTGAATTTTTTTGTGACTTCATTTTGAACCTGAGCAAGCAGCATAAGAAATATGGTCAGCACAAGGCAGTGGACCCCGTGCCCTCAGCATGTTCTGTACCAGCTTGCATTTACTAATACTTCTCTTGATTGCTGGTCTTCAACAAATGAGTTTTTTGCTGTTATTGCATTGATATCAGTGCATAGAAAATAGTATAGAAATAAAAAGTCATTTGTTCTCCTAGGGCTCTTGGTTAGTTTAAAAGGAAAAAAGAAAGTCAGGGATGCAACACCCTCTTCTGGCTGAGTTGGGTTTTGAGGTCTGTGCAGATCTGAGAGACATTGTTTTAGACTAGATTTTTGAAGACTGCATTAATAATCAGAGTTACTGTCAAAATTTGCAACAATATCCTTCTCAGTGACAGGGTAAGGTGTGACCTCGGAAGTCTGGTCCCAGCTTCCAGCTCTCAAGAGCTCTGGAGAAGTGAGTTGGGTAGACCATGACCCATGTGAGCAGGAAGAAAATTTTTGAAAAAGTGTCAAAAGTCTGGCCCTTGTCAGGCATGGTGGAGCATGCCTGTAATCTCAGCACTGGAGAGACTGAGGCAGGAAGGTCATGAATTTGAGGCCAGCCTAGACTACATGACAAGACTCTGTCAGAAAGAAAAGGAAAGCAAGAAAACAAGAAAACAAGAAAGAAAGAAAGAAAAGAAAGAAAGAAAGAAAGAAAGAAAGAAAGAAAGAAAGAAAGAAAGAAAGAAAGAAAGGAAGAAAGAAAGGAAGGAAGATGTTTGTCCTACTCTGGAACAAATAGTAAATCTAAAACAAGGATAAGTTTATTCTGTGGGCTGAGGAAACTTCTTTTTAAGTGGGTATTAAAGAGAATCTGGTATCTCTCACTAATTACATTTGGATTTCTCTATAAAAATCTCACAGAGTCAAAGGTTGCCAAACACCGCCCATTACTTTCTTGTAATTGTAACTGTTCTAACAGTGTGTTTCCTGGAGGTCATATTAGAGGCTACCCTAGCATCTACACCTGTCTTTGAGGAGTCCTATTGCCAAATAAGGTGGCCCTGCCAGTTTCCATCTGGGAGGGAGGGGGGAGGAAGTGACAAAGGAAAGCACAGACACTTGGAGACAGAAGGAGCCCAGCAGGACATTGAAAGAAAAGTATTCAGTGCTGGAACACACTTCTTACCAAATAATGTTTTTATTCTCTAAAAAACATGCTTTTCTCCCATCTGAAGGCCAGGCTGGCTGCTGCTTCTCTTCTCTTTCACTGTCAACTCATCATTCACAAACAGTAAGTGACGGGACAACTGCACAAGAGAAGGCAAACGGGCTTGCAGTGGCACAACGTGATGCCATGATGGCATCGGCAAGGATCAGGCTGGGTGCGGTCCTCTCAGGGAGCTTCCAGCCGAAGAACCAGCTGAGGTCAGGCAGCGCAGCAATGTAGTCTTTGGCCACACAGCTGAGAAGGGACCTTAGGACAGGTACTCCTGGGATCTGTATGCATAAGGATGTGTGCAGGGGCGTTTCCCATACCCAGCCTACTATTCAAATGCTTAGAACAAATAATTCAAAAAGCTGTTTCAGAATATCTACATTAAAGCTAAAGCTCTTTGGATGAGAAACTCTTCCACATAACTTCACCAAAGCCAAGAATATATCAGAAAGAATCCGGAAGATTCTCATGCAGTCCAAGGGCAGGAATCACAATGGGGGCTGGGCTGCTGTGTGTCTGGAGCCCAGAACTGAAGAGCAGTTTAAAACTCCAGGTAGCTGCTCTTGCTGTCTGTCTAGCTCATGCCCCGCAGCACCACATGGCTTCTCAGCTGCTTGTTTTGTCCTTGCTTCTTCAGTCTCTGTTTAATGTTTACATGGCAACCATGGTGGCCACATCCTTAGAGTTTAACTGTCCTCAGTTCAAATGACCCACAAAACGGAGCCATCTATTTGTTCCTGGTCCAACTTTCCATGAGAGAATAGCTGCTCTACCCTAGTTAGGTTCTCTTGTCTTCTGAGCATGAGAAGAAAGTCAAGTCAGGTGCTGTAATGCGGCCATCCGGACTCGCCTCTCTGCACAGGGACAGGCTCCTGGGGAAGAGGTGAGTGGAGAGGGAAGAAGGGCTAGCAATGATCCTGAAGCACAACTGAAACAGTGTTATGAAATGGCAAAATAATGAGCAATTTTGAGGAAAAAAATGTATTGGAACTTTCCCTATTCCTGAGGGAGGAGGAAAGGAAGAAAGGGCACCAAACTGTACTCTATGAGACAGTGAAAAGATAGCTACTTTGGGAGCTAGATGATCTGAGGATGCTCCTTGTTCCACCAAGTTCAGGCTTTTTGAACATATTATACAAGCTCTTCATGTAAGTTTTCTCATGTATAAGTAAAAAATTATAGTAGTTTTCCCATTCATGTCAAAGGGCTGTATAAAAAGGGGTGTACTACTGTGCACATGGGGGATAGTAGAGATTAAGCACAGATTTGGTGTTTTATGGTAATAGTTACAGGTCATGTAGAGATAGGAGCTGTATTATTCTGGATATAAGAAAGAAGATTAAGTATAAGAAAAATGACATCAAACCAATAAGTCACTTAAGAAGATGAATTTTTGTCAAAGTTTGTCATTACCTTTGTAAGAAACACCTAGTTGGTCTGGAAGTCTCAAGCAGATGAGGAAACAATTATTTTCCCTCTGCCCTTCTGGGTTTCTTTGCTGGGGTCTTGAAGAAAAGAAGAAGGGGAAGGATGGAGGAGGAAGCAGAGGTGAAAAGGAAAAAGGTAAGATCAATAGGAGTAAAACAAATGTACTAACCCTAAGCATGCATGGTATATGTCACATGGACCACCTGACTAAGACAAAGAGGTGACCTGGAGTTCCAGTTTATACACATCTTCAACAAAGGACAGCACATTTTTAGGAAAGTACCAAGACGAAGGAAAGGGACCTGAAGTCTGCCCTGCCCTTAATTCAGGCTCTGTCTTTTCAAAGGCTTTGGTCATATGTGAGGGGCAACACACTTCTCATTTCCTCACCCTTCCTCTAAGAAAGATTTCTCTCATTAGTTTGTTCTCTGCCTTGCCATTCTGCATGTTAACCTTCTCCTTGATGAGAAGGTGAGTTTAGGATTTCATGTGAGAACCTTCTAAACTTGAGGCTATAGGGGTCTGACCCATCCCCACTTTGCCTCCTAGCTATCCTGGTCTGGGCTGCCTGAATGTTCCAGAATGTTCCAGTCCCAAGATGCTGTGAGGCCAAAGGGAGCATCGGATAAGCATCTAGGACTACCCAAATGCAGCTTGTTGAGAGACTTATGGAAGGAAGTGTGGCTCTGGACAGCAACAAGACCACATGGAGCCCTGCATTTCCGGTAAGAAACATGATTAGGACAAAAGTGACTTCATCCTGACCGGAAAGTACCTATCTCAAGGTAGGTACCTATCTAATGTGGAAGAGTCAGGCACGCTCCTGGTACAAGGGTGCAACTGCAAAGCTCCACGTGTCCCTCGAGTGGCTTGGTCTAGTTGTAGTGTGTGGGGAAACTGCAGGAGAGACAGACAAGTGTTAGTAGCGCAGTTATGGCACCTACCATTCAGGATGGCTGCGGTCACATCAAGCAGAGTCCAGGCATGGAGCCGCCACCTTTTTTTCACATCAAGTGGCCATGTGTTGCTCAATACACAGATTTACCAACTTGCTGATCTATTCCAACCTCTAAGTTACAGTTCAGGAGACTGTGGTCAGAGGGAGGATTATAATCAGCCCTGTTATAAAAGATGTTTCCAAAGCAACAATTAACTTATACACAATTGGTATTTAGGAGAATTACATCAGCAAAATATGTAAGTCATGTTAGCTAATACATTATTTTTCTTAGACAAAGGGAACAGTACTATCAGAAGGAAATAAAAGGAAAAGCCCCAAGCCAGGCTGTTATACAAGCAGAACCCCCTTTTAGTTCTGCTAAAAATAATGTTACAGTTTATGTCTGGATATACCCCAAAGTCTAATAGGGTCATAGGACTTTTTCAGAGCTGGCTAATTCTAGCGTGTGTGATGCTGGGACTAAGCATATATGATCAGTTCACTGATTGATTTGGCACTGCCCTGACCTCAGCAACCTAGACAGAGTATAAAATGTGCAAAAAGATGCTGTTAAAGTCAGTTGTTGATTTTGCGGTCTTCTGCCCATCATGAACTGTGCTCTTCTGCAAAGCCACCCTGCCTTGGAGCCAGCTGACTATGGGTTGAAACCTCTAAAAACTATCAGCTAATTAAATCTTTCCCCCTTAATTTGGGGCATTGGGTATTTTGTCTCAGCAACAAGAAAAGTCACTAAGACAGACAATAAGTAAAAACAGTGGTTCCCTGGTTCACAAACTCAATTCCCTACGTGATTCTGGTGGCAAATCAATCTGGGAGAGAACCTAATCAAAATTCCCCCTAAGGTCAACATTGAACCTAACCACTGCATTTGATTCGGTTCTCATTCAACTCAGTTGGCAAACAGAATCATGGACAGAATCAAGTTCATGAGTCAAGGCACCTTTGTACTCTCTGGCTCTCAGCTTATGACAGGCTGCGTTCTCTCCCTTGGCCACCGATCTCACAGTGCCTCTAGCTCATCACAGCACCATTCCCATCTACATTATCTCAGTGCCACCAAGTCAGCATTTCTGCTCAGTTCTTTCTATGCTTTTTTAATGTCTCCTGATGCAGCCTGTGGATATGCTGGATGCCTGAGTTTTTCTGAGAATCTGCAAAAATACTGTATTAGTCTGTCAGGCTGCCATAACAAATTGCATACCAGGGGCTGGGTGACTTAAACAATAGAAATTTACTTTCTCACAGTTCTAAAAGCTGGAAGTTCAAGGTCAGAGTCCATGTGTGGTGAAGTCTCTTTCTGGCTTTAGACAGCTGCCTTCTTACTGTGTCTTCACGTGACCTTTCCGTGGTGTCCATGTAGAGAGAGTGAGCCAGTGCCTCTTCCTCTTCTTATAAAGACACCAGTCCTGTTGGATTAAGGTCCGAGAGCTCTGCCCTCATGACTTATTTAACTTTAATTACCCCATTAAAGGCCCTGTCTCCAAACAGTCACTAAGGGAATGGATTAGGGCTTCAACATATGAATTTGGAGGAGGGGAAACAATTCAATTCCAAAAAGATACCAGTTATACTTGTGCTAGTGTCTCGTTAGTGTTGCTTCATTTTTGAGTGGCCTGTTCACTGTCTTATTTTTCCCGTGGCTCAAAAAGATTTTTAAATGTGTAATGCTGGTCAGCGTGTAGGGAAATAGTCACTCTCGTATACTGCTTTTGAAGAAATAAAATAAAATTGGCACAAACCTTACAGACAGAAGTTTAACAACACATCAAAAGCCTAAGTATTTTGCATACTCCTTAATTAAAAACATCCCATTTCTAGTCATTTATCTTAAAGAGAAACCAAGCCAGCAACAGAAAAGTAAAATTTACTAAATTTTGGGTTAGTACATTACACAACATTTTATAATGCTATTAATATCAATGTAGAACATGGAATTGGAAATATGCATTTAATACAATGAGCAAATAAAATTATGTCAAGGAGAGCCCACATAACTCCATTTTCACTAAACTATTACATTGTAAGTTATAGAGAGAAGGCACATTTAAAACTTACCTCTGGGTAGGAAGATTAAGGCTAATATTTAGTCTCTTCTTTCTGTTTACTTTTTTTTTCTATAATGAACAAGCAATGAGCATATATAATGTACAACATATAATATATAGTTTGTTTAAACTATAGGAAGAATAAAAGCTATCAGGTAAATTAGATACTCTCTCTAAGATGATCATACCCATCTATCACCCATTTCTTCATGCTATGAGTTCCCTGAAGAATGTTTTTCCTTCAGATGGGGATAATAACAAAGGGATTATAAAAACAATTTAAAAATCTGTTTTAGATAAAGAATCTTTGTTAATAATAAATTCCGGGGCTGGGGATTTAGCTCAGCGGCAAAGCGCCTGCCTGGCAAGCGCAAGGTCGTGAGTTCGGTTCCCGGTACCAAAAAAAAAAAAATAATAATAATAATAATAATAATAATAATAAATTCCTCCTGTCTTCCCTTATTCCCCATCCCTCCAAAAAATCAAGGAAAGAAAGGGGAGAACAGCAGCATAGCCTAACAGTAACATTTTCCTAATGGAACGTGCTCCATTGTCTTCCACAAATTCAGCGGCTTGGGAGGCCATCTACACCCACAGATGAGTTTGAAAATTGGCATTGTTATCGCCAAGCAAAGATAGCCTTTCCTTGGGAAGCTCGGTGGTTCCTTCAGAGTGATTCAGATCTCGGAGGCAAATATGTATCTAAGCTCTGTGGTGGAGAGTATTTGCCAGTGAGAATACCAAGGCCCAGGTACACATGCAGTATGTGTTTTGTTGCAAATGTTTTCCCAGTAAACAAAATGGAGCCATCAAAAGAAAGGAACGCTAATTTTAAATCAATTAAACTCAAACAGAAATTCTTCCTTTGGGTACAGTTGCCTTTTGGTAAGCACGCTAATTTTGTAGACCTGCATTATTTACTCACAAATTGTTTATGAAATGTCTGTGGCATTGAGAAATTGAAATCCAACTGGTCTCTCCCATAGCTCTTTCCCAGGCCATGACTTCTTGAGAGGGGGATAGAGTGGTGCTTTGTTCATCCCCTTGCACTAGTTGATACACACGCAGCCTTCATCCCTGCTGTATAACAGGATTCCTCTGTGATGCTCGTTGGCAGGAAGGGGATGCTCAGGAAACCAGGAAGTATATATTTCTGTGGGTCTCTCTTCCAGTTCACATTAGGATTGCTAGACAGAAGATCAGCTGCTGGCCAGGACATCAGTCAGAGCAGAAGAATGGATTCTGCATTTCGGATGCTGTCAAAAACGAGGGACACTCAGGCAAACCTCATCAAAACTGTGCCTGTAACCCTGAGTGGCCTCCCTCCCAGGGGCCACATGCCAAGGGAGGGGGAGCAGAGGCTGAGTCTCTGCTAACCCTGACAAGTCAAAGGGAAGATTCATCTCTAACCTATAAAGGAACAAAATGTGGCTCACTCCCCTGAACAGAAAAACCTCCCAGAGATAACAATGGCACAGCAGTGGTATTAGGGTACCGACAGTGTTGCTCACCTGCCAGTTCATGAGTCACTTAATGCCCAGTACAGTATTTTGGTTTAGGTTTTGCTGTTACTGTTTTTGTTGCTGGATGAAAAGCAATTTGGGTGTTATCTCTCTCTGTAGGGTTCTGCAGCCAAAAATGAGACTGATGTAAAGCAGGAGTTTAGGGCAAGTAATTCTGACATAGCCTTTTTCAGAGCAAAACAAATGATAAGGCTGTTTCTTGGGAAAACAGCAAGGCACAAGAGTGATTTCATTGTCTCTGGTGAGAAAGTATAAGCATAAACATTCTGTTAGTTCATGACACTGGGAATGACTGATGATAGAATGCTACAAAGGCTTGTTTCTTCGTAAGGATTTTTCAACATTTCCAGAGGCTGTTTCAACACAGTCCAGGAGGCCTTAAAGCAACTTAGAAGTAGTCCTTGGCACTGGTGTAGTGCTTGGAGTTTTACCAAACACTGTGACGTGCATTATCGCAATTGATCCTCAGACTCATACTCTAGACAGATGGGGCAAGCCCTCCCAAGTACTCCTGTTTTATTAAAGAAAACCTCAGCTTCGGAGAGGTAAACGACTTGCCTTAGTTAACTCAGCCAGGAATGTTACTTCCAACACATCACCATGCCCATTCATAGAGTGGAGGTAAGGCGAATGGAGGTCTATTATTTGTTATAAAGGGTTTAAAACCTTCCAGGATAAATTAGAAACTGCAAATAATGCTTTCACCTGTTCTGTAAAGCCCCATGATCATGCAACAAGAATAGCAACCACCGGCTGAAAGGTGACCCCAACACACACACAGTCAATTTTCAGCCACAGTCTTTACTTAAGGAGCTCCAACTTTATTCTAAGGGAAGAAAACCTCGTAATCCTGGATTTATCTTTATAAATGCTTTCGTAAAAAGTATTTACAGACAATACTAACACGCAGTTGTGGATCACATTTGCAACAGCTAACTGCATTTACTAAGGTGATTTAATTTGGTTTTCATCTGGCCCTTGAAGATAGGCAGAGATGAACATTCTTAGCACCTGCCACTGGAACCTTGTTGGGGAGCCTCAGAGAGATCAGTGGTCGCACCAAGAGCACACATTACACTTGGAGTTGGAAGCGTAATGTAGATTGAACTACAGTCACAGATCTACCACTTGCTGATGTAGAGGGCTTAGTGGAAACTTCTGAATCTCCCTGGGCCTGCAGGGGAAATTGGGTGAACTTACAAGAGGGATAGGTTTCTTTCCTGCTGTCTCTAGACCCTGCATCCACCCTTTTCATTCTGTCATGGAAACCCGGCGCTGGAAACCTCTGACCCACATTTCCCAGGATTCCTAGCTTCTGACTTACTATTAATGTGAGATCAGAGGGTGAGAGCTCAGAACATTCTCTTCTGTCTTGTGGCTGCATCGCTGCAGTTGGCTGCCTCCCTCCTGTGATTCTGCCTCCTGCAATGGACTTCTCTCCAGAGTTCCAGCTCAGCAGCAAGTAGTGTTTCTGGACTCCGGTAACTTGAGTTCCTCCCTTTTGTTCTCCCATACCAGGAAGTGAGTCTGATTCCTGAAGTGACTTGTTTCTGCTGAGACCTATTTATAGTTGCTCTCCCAGCAACAAATCTTCTCACTTGCTCTTTTAGCCCATCCCAAACATATGTGACATGGTCCTTGTGTTAAACTTTTCTTTGTACTATCCAGAAAGGGTTTAATTTTTCTAAATGCACCCTGACTGATACACAAAGGAACTTAGTACAGCTGCCACATAATTAGTGTGCAAACATCGGAACAATTAAGAATAAAAAAGACCTGACAATGTTGCATGTTGAGAACCAAAAGCATAATTCACCCTCCCACTGCTCTGCTGTGGGCAATTTGTATTAGGTGAGAGACCTGTGTGAGAACTGTCTCCAATCACAAAATGTTTCCAAATATCAAGAAGTTAAAGATTTTTTTAATGATGCATGCACCAATTTAATGTAATTTCTGAAACAGGGATGATAAAAATACTGACCTACCTCATAGAGCTGGTTGGAACAACTAATTAGCTCTCATAAAAACACTTCAACCTCCTAAAGTACCTCATAAAAGTTTATTATGAGTAGTAATACTAATAGTTAAACATATAATGATGGGCATCAAATGTGGGCACGCTCCACAAGCTGATGGTGTTTTAAATTCTCTTTACGATCTCACTGTTGTTTAGCAGTTCATATGTTGAAAGCTCTTCACAGCTGTAAATTGGCTAATCCCCATGACACTCACTCCTAAGAGATAGGTCAGTATTATTTTCTATTACTATGGCAACAAATCCTATGTAAATACCCAATGATAGAAGTTGAAGATGAGAAACAAGAAAGGTTAAGTGACTTATTCAAGACCACACATCAAGGAGGTGGCAGGGTCAACTTTAAAATGCAGAAGAGCTGACCCCACAGGACACTAGAGGCTACCTGGTCAACACTAAGGAGATTATTAACATCCGTTTGCTTAGAAATTCAGTGAAACAGAAAATATAAATACGGTCTACATCTGCTTGCAAAATTTGAACAATTACAATTTTCAAGCATATAATTAAATGACCATGTTTTGTTAGTCCATCCATGACAGGCAGTAGCAGGCAGGGCAGCACAAATTTTGAAGATATGCTGTTTGGATTCATACCCCAACCAGCTTCTGCCATTGTATCAGTCAGGTTTTACCACAGAAACAGATATAATACAAGATATGCAATTGTATAAAAAATTACAAGATTGGCTTACAATGGCCATCCACAGAGTTGGATGAGGTAGAGTGCAGAGGGTGTCTGCACACTGGAGGCTGAAGGATCCAGTCCGAGGTCTGGAGCTCACTGCAGTGTTCACGCAAGTCTGTATGGGGGGCCAATGGGTCTGCACCTAAAGGCTGAAGAGTCTATGCCAGAAGGTGAAAGAGCCAAGGCAGAAGCCCAGGTGTCTGCACAAGAAACCAAGAGACTACATCCAAACTGAAGGCAAAGACTGGAGCTCCTCTGAAGAATAGAAGCCAGGCAGTCCTTCCTCATTTCCCTTTTATACCAGCCCAAGTGACAACTCACCCTAAGGCACATGCTTTACACCCTAGGGTGTGAAATTGCTGAGCCATTTAGTTAAGCTTCTGAACTTTTCAAGTTGACACAATCAATCAATCACTATATTCATCACTGCTGTGGGAACTTGTGCCAGTTACCTCACTTCTCTGAACCTCAGTTTCAGATCCTAAGTAGTGAAATGAAGTCAATAATAGGATCTATTTCATATGATTCAGGAGACGATTTAGTATAAAGTGCTTAGAGCCAGGCTAGGTAGATAATAACCACTTATTAAATGTCAGCCTTGTTAGATAGCTCTTATTACACAAGAAATATTTATCGCTTTCCAACAGTGTTGTACCAAGTATATAGATGCTTACAGCACAATCCTTGCTTTTCAGTAGAATTGTAAAATGTGTAACTTGACAAACCATAGAAGTGAGTGGGTGATATTGGGCCATAGGTGTTGAGACAAGGCTACTGATTTTCAAGGCAAAGGATGTGACTACTCAGTCCTCAGGTCCAACATGTTCAGTCAACTCCCTCTTTCACCTGTCCCTAAGTTTTGGTTTTCATTTAATTAATTTTATTTACATTTTGGCAAAGAGAAGAATACAAGTAAATAGGCACTAAATGGTCCATGGATGCTCAGAGGAAAGCAGGGATATTTCTGATGGTCAGGTAAGAGGTGGTACTGGAATTTGGTCCTAAAAGACAAGTCTGACTGTACAGCCTCCAGGTGGCTGTGAGGCTTTATGGCAGAGGCCTTGTGGGCAGGAGGGCAGACAGCAGCAATGGGATGCTGGAGATGGATCAAAGAGGGCTGAAGTATATTGAACATCTGCTATGATCAGCAACTGGGCCAGCCTATTAAATTGCTTAGCAGAGGTCATACAAGGTCATGTAACTGGCAAATGACCAGGTTCAAGGTAAAGTGGTATACCTATTCCAAGTATGAAGCAATGCAAAAGACCACTGATGACTTTTTTAAAGAGGAGAAAATGACACAAAGTGGAACTTTTGCAGCATTACTCTGAGTGAAATATTTACATAGGCTGAATAGACCGTCTGGGGAAAGCTAGGTAGGGGTGTTTGCAGGATGTGGGGAATAATGAAAGCTGGGAGGGACCTGAGGCTAGAAAGGAAAGGGATGTCTGGGGGTGCTGCCCATTGATTCTCAGCTCTATTGGTACAGCAGAATCACCTAGATATATTGCCAAACTATGAGTATATAAGTTCATCGAGTGTTGAATGTGCAATAGGTCACAGTCAAAGGAATTTAAAACTTACACTAAAAGAAAGGTGGAAAAGGTTAGATTAAAACAAGAACTGAAGACTTTTTGTGATTAAAAGAAACCATAAAATTTACCATCTTAATTACATTTAAGTGTACAGTTCAGTAGTGTTAAGTATATCCACACTGTTGTGAAACAGAGCTCTAGAATCTTTCCATCTGAAAAAAAAATCAGTCAAAATTCTAATCCATGAGGCAATTTCTCTTTGCCCTTTTTTCCCCCGGCCTCTAGTAACCACCACTCTGCTTCTTACATCTATGAACCCAACTACTTTAGATACTGCATATAGGTAGAATCATACAGTATTCACTATTTTGTAACTGACTTATCTGACTTAGCTTGTCTTTAAGGTTTACCCAGGTTGTAGCATTCAGCAGGATTTCTTTTCTGTATTAGGGCTACAGATTCCTCTGTTGTATGTATACACATTAAGTTTATTTATTCATCTGTTGATGGACATTTGAGTTGCTCTACTCCTTGGTTATTGCAAGTGGTGCTACTATGAACATGAGTGTACAAATATGACTTCAAGACCTGCTTTCGATTCTCTCAAAGTCATATTTGTATACATCCAAAAATAAAACCACTAGGCCATCTAGTAACTCTATTGTCAATTTTTTGAAGAACTTCCATACCATTTCCCATAGCAGTTGCACCATTTTGCAGCTCCACCAACAATGCACAAAGGTCCCAGCTTCCCATATTCTTATCCACATTGGTTATTTCCTGTTTGGTGGGTTTTCTTTAGAGTGACCACATTAATGAATGTGACTAAGGACATTTTTAAAACATGCAAGTACAAAGGTAACTTCTAAAACAAAAAAGATAACTCACTCTAAATCTCAAAATAATTTTAAGTCAACAAGAAAAACAAGTGGGAAACCAGGGTAATATATAACAAACAGTAATAACAATATAAAATAAATAGCAGAGTTAAAAGCAACAGATGTGTTTTGACCATAGATAGGCTTAGACTTCATTCACTTGCTCAAAGGTTTCCTACTTGGTTCACAAACAAGACTCAGCTCCCCATACCAGGAATGCACTTAACACAAAGTAACAGGAAGGCTGAAAGTAAAGGAATAGGCAATGAATCTTCTAGGCAAATGGAAACGTCAAAAAGCCAGGGATTGCAAACCTGGTATATATTTCTGGTGAGAAAATAAACTATTACATACAGGTTACTTTCCTGATGTTGGTGAGGATACTATGATTATGAAAGAGAATGTTCTTATTCATAGGCCACACATACTTAAAAATATTTAAAAGTAAAGGACTTAACCTCAAAAGATTCAGAAAAAAGTAGAGAATGATGGAATAAATCATGCAAAATGTGAAGAATTGGTAAATCAAAGTACATATGAGTTATCTGAACCTTTCTTGCAACTCTTCCCTAAGTTTGAAATTTTATCAAAATAAAGTTTTTTAAAAATAATAATGCCCAGAACTTCTCAGAAATTTTAATTATCTTAGCCTCAAAATGAAGCCAAAACTATGATAGCTGTTAAAGCTCTCCAGATGATTCTAGTTTGCACCAGAGTTGAAAGTCACCGGAGCAGACAGTCCCTAAGACTTGGTTACTGAATGGATGTGTGTTATAACAGAAAGGGAGAAATCGATGAAAACTGTAGTAGGCAGAAAAAAGCTCCCAAAGATACCCAATATTGGGAAGGAGGAGGCACAAACTTTTAGTCTATTGCATTGATGGATTAGAGATTTGAAGAAATTTCTGTAAGATGGAAAGTGGAAGGGAGATATTGACGGATGAAACAGAGATGGAACCTCAGCCCAATACGTACAAAGGGATCGCAGAGAAAACAGAATCTGGTCTGCACAGCATCACCCCAGCAAGTCTCCAAGTTTACTGCAGGCACATAAGACACAGGGAAATGTTGAAAAGTTGTGTTATCAGGAGGATTCTTTGAATGTCTACACAAGAAACAGTATATAAAAAGTGCACATTCTTTTCCTCACCCCTCTCCCTTTAAGGAGCTCAGCACTTATTCCCAATAAAAATTCTGGAGGACTCTCTCTAAGGAAACTGAAAAAACTTTTATTTGGAAAAAGCAAAGACTGTGTAAGATACATTTTTCTCAGAGATATGTCTTCCTCATTTTACCCCGAGGAGGGTCTTCTAGACTGTTCACCCCAGAGCTAATTCTGTCAATGATTTTTCATGGTGACCTTCCTGCACAGGACAAAGGAAATCTATAACAGGTACTTATTCCTTACTTTAAATATGAATGAGCAATATGCGTCCATTAGAACCCAGGGGAGAAAGGCAACAGACACAACAATCAAAAGATGTTTGAGATGTTCACGGTTCACTTGTGAACCATTCAAGACTTTCAGTAATTGTTGCAAAACAAGGGCAGAGAAAACTTTTGACCTTGAAGCTATAATAATTTTACTTTGAATGGCCCAGAGGTCATTTCATTAGGCTCATAAAGAAGAAAAAGCAATTCTAACATACAACCTGGCTTTGTAGTGAACAATATTCGCATAGTTAGATAATGCAGATGTTGGTTTGTGCTTTCCACATATAGCAAATACTCACGAAAATTCATTATGACTTCATGGCTTGGGATGTAGCTCAGTAGTAAAGTGCTTGCCTCGCATGCACAAGGCCCTGGGTTCAATCCCCAGTACCACCAAAAATATTGATTATAGTTTTAGGGCACATGGAAATATTAACTATTTTGACAATGTAAAAGTTAAGACATGGCCAAAACAAGGTAGGGCTTGGCAGGAAAGGAGTGATATAGAAATATATAATAAGGAGGATAGAAGGAACCAGGGTGTGCTGGAGCATACCTGTAATCCCAGCTCTCTGGGAAGCTGGAGCGGGAGGAGCCCAAGTTAGGGCAGAGCCTGGGTAATTTAGCAACTTAGTGAGACCCTGTCTCAAAACAAAAAATAAAAAAGGCTAGAAATGTAGCTCAGTGCCAAGGCCCTCAGTTCAATCTCCACTACTGCAAAAATAAATAAATAAATTTTTAAAAGCAGAGAGATATAAATATGGTGCCCAATATTACATAAAAAATAGCAATGTAGAAATCAAATACTGTACTGAAAACATGAAAATGTAGGGCGTAAGTGAGTTAAATCCATGTCTTTTGTTTTGTTTTGTTTTGTTTTTTCCTGTACCAGGAATCGAACTCATGACCTTGCACTTGCCAGGCAAGCGCTGTGCCACTGAGCTAAATCCCCAGCCCCTTAAATCCTTGTCTTTCATGACTGAGAATCAACATATATTGTCTAACTTTTAAAAAAAAATCAAGAAATGCAAGTGCATTATTCACAGGTAGGGAGCTAATCATTAGAAGGCCTGGACATAAAAGAGACAAACTCCGGAGAATGGGACTGGGGTGAGGAAGGGACTTAAGAGAGTGTTATTTTTCATCCTAAACTCATCTGTTATTTTTATACCACATTCATGTATTTAAAAGTGATTAAGTACTGGGGCCATAAATCCTCAATTATTGGCAGTTTGGTTCTAACTTTCCAGATGATTCAGTACCTTCTATTACATTGGGGCCATTATTTAAGGACTACTTGTGGTGATACACTATATTTGCAGACTGAGTAGTTAATCACTGTGTTCTTATGTTAATAAAGCAGGTTAAAGAAAGAAAAAAGAGCAGAAAGGGAAAAGAAAATAATAGAGAAGTCAAACAAAGAGCTGTTGAGAGAGTCAAGTTGCCAGGTCAGATTAGGAGTGGAGCTGGTGGTGAGCTCCCCACAGGAGGTTCCCAGCAGGAGGGAGCGCTTTGGGGAACAATCAAAGCCCAGAGATATTGTGTGCAGCTTCCTTCAGAGAGAGCAATGAACTCTTAAAACGTCACAAGCTCTGCTCTAGTCCCGTTGGCTCTTTCCATGAAAAGGTTTCTGCAGACAGGCTCCTGTTTCACTCCTTATACACACACACACACACACACACACACACACACACACACACACACAATCTTTACAAACTCTGCCAGTATACAATCCCTTTCCAAATGTCAGCATTTCCCAGGGGTCAGCACTCACCAATCTCGTCTGCGCTGTACTCCATTGGGCTCAGATTTTCCTACTTGACCACTGTAGGTACCGTATGTTTTATAATAATAGTTCAAGGGCCCTGATCCCTTCTCCCCAACCAGAGCATACGGTTCATTTTAAAAGAAGAAGCCCTGATATCATTCTTTTATCTCTCTTGAAGAAACTACCACAATGTTGGGCTTCAAATAAGCAATTCTGAAGCACTTCTGTTACTGAAAAAAAAAGTAATGGATGAAGTCTTCATTTTAATTGAAACAAGTTTATTTCCCTAGCTTGGATCAAACTGTGATGAGAGGGACTTCATAGACTTCACTTGTCCCTGGTTTGTAACATGGTCATGATTGTTGGGACCCTGGACAGCACCAGTCACTTTTCACTCTCCGAGGCTAGAACAAAAGGAACTGGGGACCTGAAGAAGAGGCCAAGCAGTAAGTATAGCTGCCTTGTTCCGGAAGATACCCCTGCTCCTCCTAAAGAGCGTAGTCATCCATACAGCAGGTATGAGCTCATGACGTACAGATCAGAAGGGGGCACACTATGTGATAGCTGTGTTGCCGAAAGAACGGAGCACCATTGGGAGGCGCATGCGCAGGACCCGCTGTTTCGATGTCTGGAGAGGGGAGGGCAATGTGTGGGGCATGCAGTGTCCCTGCTTCCACCTCCTTCTCCCGTGCTTTCATTACAGATCCTGCTGCCTGACTGAAATGTGAGTTCTTCCAATTATTTCAGTGTCTAATGCCAAGGTCATTTTCTTTTACTCGTTTTAGCAGACTTCTTTCAAGCTGGGGTCAAGGCCTCTGCTCTCAGAGGAAGCGTGTCAACATCTCTTCCCCCGGTTGCCCCTCACATCATGGCAACCACTCACAACACATGTTTATCTGGAGAGCCCCGGTCAGCAACATGCTCAGACAAGCTGAACAGAAGTCTCTGCTGTGTGCAGGAGAATGGAGTTTTTGGCGTGCCCTGTGGCCCTGAAAACAACAATTGTTTTGCTAGGAAAATATGCTAGGTTTTGCTTTACCTTCAAAGCTTTGTTCCCACAAGTGTTCAGAAATAGAGACTCAACCACTCCTGACTTAACTGCCTTTTCTCCCTTGTTTATGAAGAAATTCAGAGAGAATAGGACACTCCTCGTGTGCCAAGTGAGAACAAATCTATCACTCACTCTTCGCCTGACTTCTTTCAATTTGATAGGGAAGTCTGAATCAAAGGGAAGACATCCATAGTAATAATGAAGAAACCAAGAGTCAAGTAGCAGAGGATGATTAAATCACATGTTTTAACCGTTCCTTCTGCGCTGCAACACTCCCCGGAGCATCCTCGTAATTGTGCTACAGCACCATTTATTATTTACAATTGCCTTATTTTCTTCTGAGATCAGGCTTTGTTTAAAAGTCCATTCAAGACTGGATGTACTTCAACTAAGGGTCACTTGAAGCTTCCATGTAATCCACCATGTGTCAACTGTCATTATGTTACAAGCCCCCAAACCAGCACAAAAAGGAAACATATTCACCTAAATTCGAAGAAGCTGGAATGTCTCTTAACAGAACCTTTATATCCACAAGGACACGTCAAAGAGAAAGAAACGACAGTCCCGTAGTTTACTCTGCTGTCTGGTACGTGCCACTTGTCTCTGGCACGTGAATATTTATGTACACTTTGTGGGAGTCTTGCTAATTGTAATTATGATTGCTTACTACAGTTTCCAAGGTAACAGTTGTCACTGCAATGCTTCACTGCCAACTCAATTTCCATTCTCCTGCTGATATAACAAATATTGTGTGACATTTTAACTGAAAATATCTGTAAATGGGCGTCTGAGTGTGGTATGTTTCTTTAAAAGAGAAGGAAAACAATTATTAGCTTTTCATTATTCATCTCAGTGGCACGTTTGATCGGTAATTACTTCAGTTTTATATTTAGAAAAGAATGCACCAGAGTCCCATGAGGTCTTGGATTTGGAGGTTCTGGGTTCTGATCTTTTCTCTCCCGGTTGTCCCTGTGACCTGGGTTCTTCAACCAGAAGCTTGTTTAGAAACTGTCCCACAGCAAAGGCGATGCCCCCTCGTCAGGTGCCCACTGGGCCCTTTTTTCCCCAGGGTGCCCTCCACAATTATAAAGGTGGAGCCTGAGGAGAATGAGACAAAGCAGGTTCTCTCCACCCTGGCTACCTTCTGTGCTCCTTCCTCCTCCTCCAGGGTGTAGAACTGCCCACTTAGCAGGTCAAAAATACCTCCAGGAATAGCAGGGGTGCCTTTGCAATTGATGCTGATAATATACAGAAGGTAGGAATTTTCCTCAGCTCCACAGGGCTGCCTTCTCAGGAATTGCAAAGACCCCACTTCCTGCCCACTCTGAGTTCACTTCCGGCTGTGGCAGGAGAGGTTTGTGCAATGCAAAGAAAGCACGTACCCGCCCTATATAGTGTAAATGTGCACACAATGCCTGGAGATCAGACCACTTTGGGCAGGACATGTTCCTTGCTAGCCTTTTCCATGTTTCCAGTTTCTCTGCTCAAATTCCTCACCTAACTCCTGATCACCACCCAAGATGCTCCCATGGTCACTTGCCAACGCAAGCTATGACCTCTTCCTACTCAGTGCTCTTTGCCTTGTTTCACCTGAAAATCTAGAAGTCAGAACTCATGCCTCTCACCTTTTCTCCATCTTAGCATAAGATATGCCAAGCATTTAGTAATAATTGATCAATTAAATATCAATAAATACTCTGTGAATGTATGAAGTAGTTCAAAGAAAAAACTGAGTTTGAGTCAGACTTTTCTCACACACACACACACACACACACACACACACACACGCACGCACACACACTACACCGATGCTGGGTTTGAAACACAGAGCCTCCTGCTGTTAAGCAAGCACACTCTTACACTGAGCTACGTCCCCAGCACCCAAACTGCGTTTGAGCATATTCAAGCTTCCAGAAACTTCTGTTGTACTTCTATGATGTATTATGAAATAATTCTTAAAGCACTGATTCATAAGCACAGCAAAACAGAAACTCTCTGATGGAGTTTATTAAAAATACAGATCACACAAAATCTGAACTGGCTCTGTGAGCATATTAAAATTACTGTTCATTTTATTAGGCATGATACTATCAGTATAGCTGTGTTCTGTAAATGACTCCTTTATCATTTCCCACTGCAGACTGAAATATTTCTTCAAAATATTTCTTTAACATTTCTTTAAAAGACTGTATGGGTTTTTGCCTCATCTATACAATTTTGAATGAATTAAAACTGGGCAGTGGAACAGGAGTTTAGTGTACTACCTTTTCTACTGTTCTGTTAAAACTTTTTAGGCTAAAAAGTATTTAAAATACATAAACTATAGTAAAATGGCAATCACTGTTAAATCTCCAAGGGTAAGAAACTATTCCATATTTCAATGTGTTTTAAAATTATAAATAAATGATATTTTTAAAATTTTAAAATATAGATTTCCTAACCACTAATTCCTGTCATTTCTGGACCCACTGCCATAAGTGTCACTTCTAAAATTAGAAATTAGTAATTAAAATCAGTAAAATTAAAATTTTAAAAAAGTAAAATTAAAATTAGTGCTTTAATAATTTTAGAAGTGACACTTATGAGAGTTCCTGCTTTGCTGTACTTATGAATCAGTGCTTTCATAAAAAGAATGTGGCTTTTACCGGAAGCACATGCACTCTGTTAAACCATTTGCTCTAGGGTACCTTGCACCTTGTTATGAAGTAGCCCTCTATAAAGACTGTGTAATGGGGAATCAAAGCCTGCCAACAACCACATGAGCAACTTGGCCGTATGCACAACCCCCCCCAGTTTATCCTTCAAATAATACCACAACCCTACCCAAAAACTTGACTGCAATCTTATGAAATACCTTAAGCCAAAGACATCGAGCTAAGCTATATCTAGGTTCCTACTCACAGAAACTAACGAGTAATAAATATTGATTATTTCAAGCCTTTAAATTTTGGAGTAATTTTTTTTTCAAAGCAAATTTTCCCTCCAAAATGTAAATGAGCCATAAGGATACTAAAATATGTGTACTAAAAGTACTAAATATTTTCAAATATTTTTGCCCCAAGTGATTCAAATAAGAAATTTTCATATTTGAAAAGCTAATCCCATATTAAAAAAAACTTTGCTGTTCATAACAAATTATTCCCTAAATTGCACATCATTCTTGCAGTTTGGTAACTCCTTCTTGTGTAAACTGTCTGGGCCTCCAACATTTCCACCTTCACCTTCCTGCTACATTTCTTTTTATTCTCTCACTATCCATTATCGTTTCACTTAGACTGCTGATGAAGAAGGATGCTATGATTCACAAACAGATCAAGTTGCTGCTTATCAAAAGCTCTGATGGAGGGATCCATGGGGTTCCAAGTGGAAAAATTAACTGAAATATTTTTTAAGTCATATGTTGCATATTTTTAGTGTTGTATGATTGTTTTCCACAATATATCACTTTCCTAGTTATCATGAGAAATTAGAAACTCTACATTCAGAATTTCAATTCCAGCACTAGTCAAACCTGGAGCTTAAAGTTCTAGTACACACTTTTTATTTGCAAGACACAGTGGAGACAAAACTATGCAGATGTGCAGTTCTTGCCCTTCGGAAATTGACCTTGTAAAGGAAAAGGTTTAAGCACATAAAAATTATTTGAGAATGATAAATATATGGTACAAATCAGAATGTAATTGAAGTTCAGAGAAGGGAGAAGCCTGCATAGGACTGTAGTATTCAGAGGAAGATTTATGAGATGGTAAGAGTTAAGTATGAAAGGTAGAGGGACTTTAGAAAGAAGAAAATAAAGAAGTAGAGTCTTACAGGTATATGAACCTAGACAATAGAAAAGATTCTCAAATCTATTTAGATTTTTACATGCATGAATCTATTTGAAACATACCTAGTGTCTTTGTGTGTGTGTGTGTGTGTGTGTGTGTGTTTGTTTTTTTCTGGTTCCGGGAATTGAACTCACAATCTTCTGCTTGCCAAGCAGGTGCTGTGCCACTGAGCTAAATTCCCAGCCCCATACCTACTGTCTTAAGTGAAAAAAAAATGCAGTTCTGTCCCATACCCATGATCCTTTAGGCCTGGGGAAAAGTTAAGAGGACAGATACAAACAACGTGGGGAACAGGAGTCGCTGCCTCCGTTTATCCTCCAAAATTGGCATTCCCAGCAAGTTGTAGAGAAGTTGTAGAGAAGGAGGAGAAACCCATTTCCCATTCCCATGGATTACAACAGTCTTCCTCCCTCTCCATGCCTGTTGCTGCAGAAGGAGGAGTTGTAGAGAAGGAGGAGAAACCCATTTCCCATTCCCATGGATTACAACATTCTTCCTCCCTCTCCATGCCTGTTGCTGCCATCAGGCAGAATCTGTCATTATTCCCCTCTCCTGTCCTTTGAAACTATTTTGTTTTTAGCCTCATGTCTGCTTGTTATATCTTGGAATTCTGGCATCACTCTTGTCAGGAACATTAAGAGAGCCCCTGCCAAGGATACATCAGAACATTGCACAAAGAAACCTGGTGGAGAGAAATTAAGGGGTCTAAAATTCCCTCCAGCCCTGAGAGGGGCTGTATTCACCCTGAAATAGTGTCTTTTTAAATTTATCTGCCCAGCAATGTAGTTTTCTTGTAATTTGTGCAAAGACACTCTACCAGCAGTGGCCCTGAGCACTGTGGGATCCAACCTTTGCTAGACATTTTGAGGTCAGTGCAATCACTTAGGTCTCAGGTCTAGCATCTATTATCTGACAAATAATGCAATAGCATGGAACCTACATATCAACCAGAGTGAATCTGACCAGCTTGCTTTAAGACAATGAAGGAATATGGGTAGCTCTGTTTGCTATGAAAGGAATTGCAGTATGTCAAAAGACTATAATAGGAGACTGAAAAAGATTTGTCTTCACTCTGAGCCCTGAATGGCATCCTCAGTGTTTATTGATCCTAACATTAGTAAACGGTATTTACAGCACCAGCTGAATCAAATTACTTGGACTATGAAATAAAGATTCGGTTTTCCAGGGTGTAATTGGTTTATTCAAGTTCCCCAGGTACAGGCTGATCTGATACAAAGCTCTCTCGTTACAACTTACTGGCTAAGATTGCATCAGCCACAAAAGAAAAATGAACTGAAAGACTAAAGAAAGATTATTTCCAAGTTTGGGAAGGGGGAAGTCATTTGCTATGTCAAAGGACTTAAATAGTCAGGTCTTTTTGAAGTCAGTATATAACAAGATGATTTTAATGGTAAATCTTTTTTTCCCTAAAAAAGCCTTTTCGGCACAAACTGAGCGACCACTTCACGAACAATTGGACGCCCAAATAATTGGAAATATTTCAGAGGGACAAATGAAGCAAAAAGATCATGGAAAGCAGGAAATATATGGATACAATTTTGAGCCTAAATGAGCATGCAGCGCCACATACAAAATAATCAGTGAGATGTGAAAACTGATATGGATCCCTTTGATTTGAATCAACAGGGTGTGAAGGACTCTTATTATTAAAGCAAAACCTTGGTGCCAGCTCACCCTTGTCCAGATCCAACAATCCACAGTCCTAGCTTTGGGAGTGTAAATGCTCAGGGCTGAGCTGCATCCTTCTGGAAGGTTGGAAAGCAGTTTTCGGGCTGGTAATCTCTGGCTGATTATGACTCAGATGCTTTGCTCCTGTCACTTTTCTGAAAGTTTCTTTGCCTTTAGCAATTTTAAAAGTCCCTCGCAATGTAAGACCTCTGTTCAGAAAAGAGAGGTGGCTTGTATTTTCTGACTACCTCAGTAACATCGGTGTGCTGTAACATACAGGACAGTTGCACTGTCATTCTTTCCAGAAAACTGACGGAAGGCAAGAAGGAGCAGTGCTCTTTCTACCACAAAGAAAGAGCCAGGGAGTGTTTTGTGAGAGCTCGAAGGGGCTCTGAAGACCTTCTCCAGAATTTTCCAAATTGTGTTCAGCCAAGTCTTAGAGTCGTGAGGGAGGGTGTAGCTGATCTCAGATGACCTAGTGTGAAACAAAAAATATATATATTTCATATTAATTTTACAAACTACTGGATTTCATCATGACATTTTCATACATGCATCTGACATATTGCATATTTTGATTACACTCATCACCCACTACCCTCTCTTCTAAAACTCTCTCTCCTCTTACCTAATAATAGTCTCCCTTGTACTTTCATATCATCTTTGAAGTGTTTTTTAGATTCCGTAGATAGGGAAAATTTGTGATACTTGTCTTTGAGTCTAGTTTATTTCACTTAATATGATGATCTCCAAATCTATCTATTTTCCTGAAAAATGACACAATTTTGTTCTTCTTTAAGGTTGAATAGTATTCCATTGTGTATATACACATTTTTATACATTTACACATTAATGAGGACCAAGGCTGGTTCCATACCTTGGTTAGTGTGAATTGTACCACAATAAGCATGGGTGTAACAGGTGTCCCTATGGTACACTGACTTTAATGCCTTCAGTTATATGCCTGGAGTGATATAACTGGGTTGTGTGACAGTTCTATTTTTAGTTTTCTTAAGAACTAACTGTATACTGATTTCCATAGTGGCTATATTAATTTACATCCCTCCCAGCAGTGTATAAGGGCTCCTTTTTCCTCTGAATCTAGCCTGCATTTACTGTTTTTTGTATTCTTGATTCTAGCCATTCTAACTAGGGTGAAATAGAATCTCAGTGCAGGTTTTTTTTTTTTTTTTTTTTTGGTTTTTCTCTGGTATCAGGAACCAAACTCACGACCTTGCGCTTGCCAGGCAGGCACTTTGCCGCTGAGCTAAATCCCCAGCCCCTTCAGTGCAGTTTTGATTTGTGCTTCCCTATTAGTTAAAGATACTAAGCAATTTTTCATATATTTATAAGTCCCTTGTACTTCTTTTGAGAAATGTCTGTCCAATTACTTTGCCCAAGTATTGATTGGGCTCTTCGTGAATTTTTTCATTTTCATTTGTTTATTTTACTGATAATTTTTAGTTCTTTACATATTGATAGAAAGTATTTTTAAACAAAGAATACTTGAGGCTTGCTTCAAGTTCACCCTAAAGTTAAGAGGAAAAAAATGTGACAAAATTCTATACAGTGAGCCAGGCATGGTGGCACACACCTGTAATCCCAGTGCTTGGAAGCTGAGGCAGGAGGATTGTTGCAAGTTCAAGACCAACCTGGGCTACAAGTGAGCTCAAGGCTGAACTGAACTGTATAGTGAGACCCTCCCTCAAAAAAGACAAAAAAAAAATTTCTATACAGTGACAAGATTATGCTTTTGAATTTTATTCTGTGTATGGTTTTTTTTTTTTCAGAGAGAAATTTGGGAATATGGCCCCAGACTTATAGAGATCTTAATTAATGTCAACAGTACTAGAAATAATTAATAAAAAGGTTAAAAAACACGAGCCTAAAATCTATAGACAGATGAGTCTAGGAGGTATTAGTAGTTCAGCTCTCATGTCTGTTCATGTGAGAAAAGAGTGCCACTGATTCAAAGTCCTTGGAATAAACATGGTTAGTGAGGTATCATTATACAACATTCGAGAAAATGCAGAATATGGACAGTGCATATGTCTGGCAATATACCTCAACTTTCTTCAAACAGTGGGCAGATTCTGTTAGAAAAGAGATTATTTTAAGATCATGATACACAATATATTCCTTCTTGTTATTCTCTATTTTGTTACAAAATTTTGTTTTACTATTTCATAGGAGAATGCTTTTTATATTTTCTTTATTAATATCTCCACTAAAATAAAATAAAAAAGAAGAGTCAGTGTTGAATCCACACCATCTAAATCTGCTAAAAATAAAATATTTGTCAGTTGAAAGAACATCTCGACTGAATATGTTTTAAAAGATGGCATTGTTAGCCTTATCTCCAAGATCTTAATCACTTAATCTTAGACTTCCTTTGTCTATATTGTTTCTGGGTACAGTATCTTTCCTTGGCAACCAAACCTAAGGCAACTCAACCAAATACACCATGACCAATCTTCTATTCCTTACTCCTCACAGTCCCAGCCTTAACTTCCCAGTCCAGCTTTGGAATGCAGTCTGGTGCCTTCCCGTATCATCCCTACTACCCTTCCCTAACCAGTATTTTATTTATGTTGTAACCAAATCTAGATCTCAGTTGAATTTTTTAAAAATAATTCAGGGAAAATTATTTTGAAATGCAAACTTCAGTAATTTGGTTCACAGGAAACAAAGAACAAAGTGCCACAACCCAAGTATGTTTAAATAAGTCATAATTAATTACACATACATCTATGTTTGGATGCTCAATTTATGACTAATTATGCAGAAAACATAATTGCATACTAAAGTATTCAATTACACGTTCTCTTGGTCTTATTTGTACCAACCAGGGGCTACAATTTCTGGGCATTTTTTGTTGTTGTCATTAATGGCATGCACACCTGTTGAAATTGTTGAAATGCTGTCAAGACACAATTAATCACATGATTTACTCTAAAGAACAGTTGCTCCTGTCGAGAAAATTGCAGAAAGACCTAAAATAATTTCCTAATTTACCCTAGTTTTCAAAAAAATTGTGTGCATTTCTGCATTCTTCTTGCCCTCTACCAAAATACACTTGCTAAGAAATCATATTAGACATCCTTCCAGCTTCTTTCTCCTACAGATTTGCAATATAGACTTTTTATTTTCGTGGAAGAGTCATAAAGCTCAAAGGAATCATGAATGACCATTGCATTTATGTCATCCTAGACAGGCTTCCTTTTAATGACACTGAAGGGAATTTGTAACCTTTTCTCCATCTTATGATGCCTGATAAAGTGAATATCAAGGAATCAAAGGAAATAAAACTAAATTCAAAACTTCCTCTGAATAAGTCATGGGAATAGTAACATTTGTGAATATTTTCTCACTGAAAGAAAGAAAGATAAGAAGTTAAAAAAAATTCCAAAGCTTTTATAATACTTAGCAAGTTAACAACTACTTTATTGTGTTTTTCAGAAACTTCTGAGTCAGCTTTATGGAGAAGACAAATCCCAGAGTCCTTTGTGGCCCAGACTCAGAGAAGTAGCACCTCAAAGAGTCACCAAAATGAGCAGTAATTCCAGTCTTTTTGCATGAAATGCTGAGACTGGAAGAGCTCACCTGTATACAGATGTCACCCTCCAGTTTCCAGAAAAACAATTCTTGCAGCTGCTGCGGTCAGACAGCCCTTGACGCAGGTGTATGTGATAGCTATTTCAAAACTCTGTTAGCTAAGCTTGGAAGAGTCATTATGATGTCTCCATGCTCTCTCCTCCCCTGCCATTCTTATGATGGTAGTCCTAAGATCAAAGCAGCTGAGGCCACTGAGTCACTACAAAGAGGACATCTGCATTAGGAAATCAGTGGACCTTGAATCACCAGACTTTGTGCAGGAAATAAATTTCTGTTGTGAGAAGCCAGAGACTTAGGAGTTGTTTGCTACTCTCAAGCAGAAAAATTGAGCCTGTCCTGACGTGCCTGCATTAGAGGGAATCCAGCTCCCACTCTCTACCACACTTGCTGACACTTTCTATCCCCTCCAAATCCTCCCCCTCCCAGCTCCCATGCTCCAAAGCCTCTTCCTCTCTCAACTTCCCACCAAAGGTAACAGTCAGGACTCCACTGCTTTTCCTTGCCTTGTCCTCCTGCCACCTAATCCTATCTGTCTCAATATTGTCTCCAGCTTCTGCATTACAAAACTCCAAAAGCTGGGTTGACAAAAGTCAAACTCTATTTACAGGGCTGGGGATGGGAAAGAACTGAGCTTTCAACAGGGGAAAAAATCCCTTTGGGATGAGCAAAGCAGGGAGGAAGTAATAGAAAAACTCATTTGGTGAAAATGTCCCATTATATTTGTTTTTGGTCCCAAAACAAATGTGTTAAGCTTCAACACCCTAGTGACTTATTCTTCCCTGCCTCATCTATTGCAGTTGCTATCATACATTTTCTTTTTAAGCACTGATGCAATTATTCTTTGACCTCCATTTTTCAGACCCCTCTGTGGCACTCACATTAGCCATCTGCTATATGAATGGACCCTGTAGAGTTGCCCAGAGCTCAATCTGTAGGACCACTCTGGGCCCTGCCTCCACAGCACTAGAAACATAGTCCTAAAAGACTTGCAAAAAGAAGCATAACTCACCTAAGAACATAACATAAAAGACTATGTGAACTTTTACAGAGAACGTTTACTCAATTTTTCAATGTTATTAAGAAAATCTACACATTTCAGTACATACTGTTGCAAACATCATTATCAGAAAGTGAAGAGGTTACAAAAAGATATAAGAACTTGTTCTGAAGCTCATAAAAGTTGCCTCTGCACAGGGAGACAGGACATATTCAGGAAAAGGCAAACATCCACGGAGAATTACATTCTAGACAGGTAAAGCAAATATAATTCATAATAGATAGCATGTATCATCAAAGTGGGCTGAAGTGATCAAGGAAATCAGTGGAAGGGGTAAATGTTAAGCTGGATCCCAATAGATGTGTGCAAATCTGGAAAGAAGAAAAGCAGAACCTGCTGTCATGTCTCAATGATGAGCTGTGGTATTTGCTGACAGGACTATAAAAGAAGACTATTCTGTGGGGAATAAACCATTTTCAAGACCACCCAGAATATACTGAAAAGAGATGTTTCTCTCATATTTCACAGTAATGCTTGGTAGCTACAACTTCACAACTCAGAAAGAGCACTCTTTCATCTCCCTAATCAAAAGCATCTAATCTACACTCATCTAAGTGAACGTATATAATGTGCATCACGCAGGTATGGTCCTTGCCTTCTAGGTGAGTACAATCTAAAATGGGAAAGCTTAGCTCTGACAAGCGTATAATTAACGTAGATAAGGATGAAGAGTGCATTTTTTGCAAGCCTCACTGCCATGAGACAGAACAATTTGTAGTCATCACTGATCTGAGCTGAATTCAAATGGGCGACCCAAAGGCTTCACTGTCTGGATGTTATTTTCAATCTCCTTAGCTATCCAATCGCCAAAAGTTTCATTTTTCATTCTTACTGTGCAGTCATCATCAGCTACCAAAAGGAAAGACTGCAATCCAGACACACTAAAAATAGCATTCTTGCCTTTTGAAAGCCACACTCAGATTTATGACAGTTTTAAAATTTGGTTTTTCATCTTAAAAGTTCAACATTTTACAAGAACTGTGCAAAGTAATACCTACTTGGTCTTTAGAGCATGAAATACCATAACTGGATGCAGTGAGAGAGCAGGCCTTTATGTCATCCATTTACATTAGGGAGAGATAGCGTTTTCTTTTGCTTGACAGGTTGACATGGCTTCATGTGTTTTCCACTTAATCAGCAGAATCATTAAGGCACTGAGGGTTCTGACGGTCTCAGTGAAAAACATCTATTTCTGTAGAACTATCACTATAAATAATTTAACAAACACACCCCTCAAAGTCTATAAAAAGAAATGATTATTCTTTCATACTTAAATCATAAACCTCTCAGAAGTTGAGTCAAAAGGAGTCTAGGTTTAAAATGAGGGCAGAATGATGTCCACCAATAAATCCTATAGTTGAAATGAAGAAATAAAAAGCAGAGTCCCACAAAGTATAATCTAATTTCTGTTTTAAGAATATACTTAGGTGTTTGTCTTTAGATTTTCATTAAAATGTTCTGAGAGAATTATATCAATATGTGCTGTCAACATTATTAATCAGAGGGACAAACTGTAGGAGAAGGAACTTTCACATTCTTTGCCTTCTTACATAATCTTGTCTTAGAAAATACGAAGGCATCTCTATTTATGAAATACACACATACACATAGACTGTACATAGATACACACATTTATATCAGTGCAAATCAAGCTAGATTTTACATCTCTTGGCTATGAAGATAATCAAGATTTGGTTGTCAGGAATAATGTGACATTATTAGCCTAGGAACCTATAATGGGAATCTAATCTCATTTTGAAAGGTTAAGAGAGAATCTATCAGGTCATAGCATGTGTCCCAAGATGGGTGACCAGCAGGCCCCATGACACCATTCATGGAAGAATTAGTATACTCCCACAGTATCATTTTTGTGGGTTAAACCTGGCAGCAGAAACCTCAGGACCATATTTCCTTTGGTTTCCACATGTATAGAAACATCTTGCTTTGGAAATGAGTGAGAGAGATGTTCATTGGGGTGTGTTTCAGGATGCCCTAGTTTGCAAACTGTGCTTCTTTGGTAGATGACTGTCTCACTGTTAAAAACAGAAATGGTATTTCTGCCCTGCCCCCATTCACAGCTCAGAAAGTCCTATTTCACCTGAAAACCATTTGTTTTTTTGTTTGTTTTGTTTTGTTTTGTTTTGGTCTTTATGAGACAGGGTCTCGCTATGCAGTTCAGGCTGGCCTTGAGCTCACTTTGTAACTCAGGCTGGTCTTGAACTTGTAACAATCCTCCTGCCTCAGCCTCCTGAGCTGAAAACCATTTGTAATAACACTTTGAAGAAAAAATATTTTGGAGGTTCCATCTGAAATGTGGGAAGCCAGCTGGCCTCCCTGCAAACTGTGCTTCTTTGGTAGATGACAGAGGTTCTCCTTCCTCACAGGTTCACTACCTTCTGTGGAGGGAAAGAGCACCTTCACCAGGTCCAGACTACTGTTACCCATCACCATGGAAAAAGAGGACAGCATTTCCAGTTTATTTGGAGAGGCAGGACTGGGATCGATGAGAATAAATGAGGGAAGGTTGAGAGTAAGAGTTTCAGGGCAGGTCCATTTGCCCCCTCTTACGGTTTGTGTCTAGATGTCCCCCCAAAGCCTCATGCAGTCATGGGGCCAGGCTTTTCAGAAGCAGCTGAACCTAGAGTGTGCAATGCTGGGATTAAGGTTGTGTAATTAGTAAATCAGTCCATGGATTGGTTTGGCATAGGTCTAGCTAGGAGTAAGGGTGTGAGTGCCACATCCACCACAGGGTCAAAAAGATTCTTATCCCCTCGTCTCTCTTGTTGCTTTTGCTATCGTGTGGGCACCATGAACTGTGCTTCTCTGTGATGCCCCTCTGCCATGCCACCCCGCCTTAGAGCCAGCTGATTATGGACTGAACCTCTACACACTGTGAGCCAGATAAGCCTTTCCTCCTTTAACTCTGGTGTCAGGTATTTTGTCTCAGCAATGAGAAAAGTAACTAAGACACTCCCTTCCATTTTGCTTAAATGAGTGGTTTTGCAGGGTGTGTTGCACTGCTGCTGAGCAAAAGTCCAGGGCCCAGGCCATGTAGACAAGTGTTCTACCACTGAGCTATACCTCTAGTCCTTGGCTGAGTTTCTAAAAAAGAGTTTTTGTTCTTGTTTCCAGCTTTCTTGAGGCACGAATATATACATATGAGATGTACTGTGTACTGCTTTACCTTTCTGTACCTGTATTTCCCACAATCAAGATAATAACATACAATTACATGACATCATCACATTGTATATGTGTGTGTGTGGGGAGGAGATGTTGAAAGTACTTACGGTCTACTCTCAGCAGATTTCAAATGCAAGTTACATTATTAACTATTAATTATCATGCTGTACACTAGCTCTCTAGAACCCACTCACACTTGAAAGTCTGCACTTTGACCAACTGCACCTTCCCCATTTTCCCCACCCTGTTTGCCCTGGCAGCCACCACTCAATTCTCTGTTACTGCAAGTCAAGCCTGACATTCTTCGATTCCACATATAAATTTTATCATGTAATATTTGTCCTTCTGTGTCTGGCTATTTCCTCCATGATCACCTGCGTTATCCCAAATGACAGGATTTTCTTCTTTTTAAAGGCTGAATGATATTCCAGTGTCCATGTATGTGTGTCTTGGCATGTCAGAGTGTCTGTGTAACATTTCTTTAATCATTCATCTGTTGATGGACATATTGTTTCCATATCTTTGGTACTGTGAAAAATGCTGCAGTGAACATGGAAATGCTGCTATGTCTTCAAAATATTGATTTAATTTCCATCAGATATATACTCAGAAGTGAGATTGCTGGGTGTGTGGTAGTTTTACTTTAATTCCTTGAAGAATTACCACACTGTTGCCCTAATGGCTGCTCCAATTTACAGGCCCATCAGCAATATATAGCCTTCCCTTTTCTCCATATCCTCATCCACACATATATCTCTTCTCTTTCTGATTGTAGCCACCTTGGCAGTGGTGAAGTCTCACTGAAGTTTTGATTTGCATTCTTATGATAATAAATGTTAAGTCTGTTTACACAAACCTGATGATCATCTGTATCTCTTCTTTAGAAAAATTTAATTAGGTTTTTTTGTTACTAAGTTGTTTTCTTATATTTGGAATAGTAAGCATTTTCCAGAGACATGGTGATATGTATTATGGATAATTTTAGGTATTAACTTGACTGAATTAAGGAATATCTAGACAGCTGATAAAACATTATTTCCAGGTGTG